GGGGGGGGGGGGGAATCACGACACAGCAACAGCGGGCGGGCAGGCCCAGACGAAGCGAAGCAAGATACGGCGCTCGGTGTGTTAAGGACACACTGTTTTGTCCAACGGCAGCAGGCCACACTGATATTTCACACCGTGGGTGGCGTTTCAAAAAATCAACACCCAGCGCAGGTCCGCAGGTCTGGGAGCAAAACGAGGCCAGGTAAACGGGGGCCACGCAGTGGAATCGTGGCAGGGTTACACACCCCTCTACCGGGCGCAACAGCCGTGAAGAACGATCTGTACACTCGGTAGGTATCATATATATATATACATGACTGGACTCATCGTCGTAGTCGATGCAGCTGCTAGCGAAAACCGTGCGTCACTTGTCGCTGCCGTCACCGCCACCGTCGTCACTGCCGTCACCGTGGCTTGTGTTTGGTACCTGGCCGAGGCAGAAGCCCCAGAGTGTCGTCTGTCCGGGCAGAGAAACTCGTGTACCCACCGTGTACCCACTGTTTCCCTGTCCGGACAGTCGACTCTCGGGGACCTCTGCTTCCGCCGGGCACCAAAGACAAGCCACGGTGACGGCAGTGACAACGACTGCAAATACGTGAGGTACCTACGACTTCGTCCCATCTATGCAACAGCGCACTCAAGCCCACGTACCAGCCCAAGGCAGCAGCTCCCCATGGTCGTGCGCCGACCGCCATCATGAACAGCCCTCAAGCGCACATGCACATCCCAACTTCGTGCGTCATGCGACCCCCGCCCCCTCCCGTGGACGCACGGTATAATGGTCTAACAGCTAAGGAGTGCAAAACACTAGACCCCCCCCCCCCGCCGCGTGAGCGCGCGAAAGCTCCGGTCAATCACCATGGCCCGTCCACCACTAGCACCCAGATAATGGTGCCATACTACTGTACCTGATTCGGTTTGCCCCTAGGTCAAGCTTTCGCAGGCGAGTGAGGCCCTCAAACCCCTCGATGGCGCGAACGCGATTTTGCGCCACGAAAGCCTGGCGGGTCGGAACGAACGTCAAAAGGAACAAAGAAAGCAAGAAATCAACACGGGCGGCGGAGTTTCTGGGTATCAAGGCGGGAAACGCTGGCTGACATCACTTCCATTTGTTTTTCTTTTCTTTTGTGGAGTCTTTCGACAACGATGACAACAATCTCGGCAGACGAAGGCGAATGTCGCAAACTTTGGTGGAGCGGCGCTCTGTTTGTTGTTCTCACCGATGTTGCAACTTTCTCTTTCCCTCCCTATCGCGTGCACGAAATACTCGAGAAAAACAAAAGATGACAATTTCTGGGGATCCCACCCCTGACGAGTCTCGTCGCCTTGTCTCGCGTTCGCCCGGCGGGTCAGCTTCAGAAAAAAAAAAACTCTTTCCAGCGGATACAGTAGGTCCATGAAAACTGCGGGAATAAGTCGCAGTCGCGTAATTTTTGTCACCTCGTCCAGCAAAGGGCAGCCTGCGATGGGCGCCGTGCTCTTGACGAGGTTGTACGACATGTCCAGGTAGGTTAGGCCGCTGAGGCTCGGCGGGATGTTGAGCGAGAGTATCTGGTTGTCGTACAGCGTGAGCCGTGTGAGGGACGTCAGGCCTTCGAGCCCCTCCATCTTCGCGATGAGGCACGACTGTAGGGTCATCTCCTGGTCGAAAATNGGGAGGGAGGGAGGGAGGGAGGGAGGGAGGGAGAAAACAAACAAGACAAGGCAGAAGAGTTGTTACCATGGTATTATTTAGGTCAGTGAGCCAAGTTTTGCAACGTAGGAGGGAACGATGGGCCTTCGGCAACCGGTGCTGTGAGTCCCCTCTAACGGCTAAGGCATGCAAAAACATGAGTGCGCCCCCCCCCCCGTGTCCTCGTTTCCTCCTCGCGAACGTCTCGAAAGAAACTCACCTGCACCAACATCATGCNCCCCCCCGTCCTCTTGCACGCCCCAAAACTCAACACCACCAGCCAGAGAATAGAACGCCACCCATACCACCGCCCGTGCTAGATTAAGGCCCAACCAGTAGACAACTCGGTCAGGACCCGCGTTGACATCTTTTGGTAGGAAACGGCTAAACCATCAGACTACCAAGTCAGCGTACAGCTGACTCAGTAGTCTAATGCCTTTATCTAACAGTCTGTGAGACCAAATGTGAGACCAAAAAGAGAATAGAAGTCTTGCTTCGATCCTCTGTACACAACGTATGTGTGTTTGCTTCGCTCTGTCCGACTCGACTCGACTCGACTGACCGTGAGGGATGACATGTCTTGCAACCCGTCCATCTTGGTGACCTTCTGGAACCCGTCTACCGTGCCCATGATGTACAGGTCTTGCATCCCTTCCACCAGCTCCACGACGTCTCCCGGCCTCACGAGCTCCAGCGTACCCACGTGGGACTCCACCATCTTTATGTAGCCGCCATAATCGTAAGAGTACAACATCAACAAGAGTTGGGAAAAAGATCGGGCTGGTGAGATAACTGTCACGGTGAAAATAACATTAACACGTAGGCCTGGTCGATGTGGAGGTTGCTGTGGGTTTCGCCCCAAGCTGCGCCAAGCATATGCAAGCGACTACCATCAAGGCAAGAGGGTCGACACACACCAACACCCTTCTCGTTAGCCACCTAGTGCGGTCGATGCCAATCACAAAGACACACGGACACAGACACATATAAAAACACGTGCAGTTTTCTTCTGTTATCGCTACAGTATCTGTCAAATCACGTGCAGTTTTCTTCTGTAATTGCTAGGGTAAATGTCTTTAATCCTTAATCCAGAGAGTAGCAGGGGCTCCCCCGCGACGCTCGGTCCCAGGGCCCCAGATTGTGGTCTTTAGTAGCATTTTGTGTCTCCAACCGCACTGAGACTGACATCTTTTCATTGGTCAGCCGGTTTACGCGGTCGATGCTAATAAGGAATAGACACACATACACCCAGCATTCAAACATGCCTACACTCGACGGTGTGATGTGTGGGTGATAGGTCAAAACGAAGTGTTGGGGTCACGGTGAGAGTCAACTCCAGAGGGGTGAACCGTAGCTGTTACCTTCAGATGAACGAGACACACGCGCGTTAACACCTCCCGCAGAATGGAAGTCGATTCAGACGTTCTAGATTTACCTTCTCGCCGGCGACCGCGTCACAACAACCTTAGAGGACACCTCAGTATTATTGTCTATCGCGACAATCAGCGTTTCCCGTCGCTTCACACGTAACCGTCTGCGGCGGAGGTTGTGGGATCGATTTCATTGGGGGCAACAACTGTCGTGCGGACACCTACAACACGGAACGACAACATACACGCGAGATCCTAGCACTGCATTCAACGTCTCGATCACGAAGGGAGCCCTCACCTCTACTACCACGTGCGACAAGCACTACGCGCGTAGACAATGAAGTTACACACCAATGGATATACTACCGTGTCAGCAGTTCGTTGACGTTTAACAAGCGAATTGCAGCAGTTTTTACGCCCTCCCTGCAGCCCGGTCTCGATTGGTGCACATTCGAGCATGCGCTCAGTGTGTTACGAGGTTGGACGCAACGCTTTCGCTCTGCTCTAGTTTTACGGGGGAGTATCGCGTGTTAACGACGGCTGCGCGCGTGTGGTGTACGCCGTGAGAACCTCGTGTGCGACGAAACTTCAACCACAGAGAGGTAGAACAGCATGCGCTACAGGCAGTACTTCCGAATGTATCTGTTCAGCGATGCCGTAGGAGAGAGCCAGCACTGGCGGCGGGTGGAGACAAAAGCTTTCAATCACTTTCATGTTGCCACCTACGTGAACTACAGCAACTGCAGGCAGTTACCTCGTGGTCATGGTCGTGGCCTTCGTGGCTGCAGCCGTGGCTGTGGTGGTGGTTTTGTGCCTCTCCTCCCTCCTCCATGCCAGTAGGACCAGAGCAAGATCCATGGCCCTCGGTTAGACGCGTCGTGTGCTCTTCTGCATGTCCCCCCGTCTCCACTGAAGTGGTTGGCGCTTCCTTCGAAACGTCTCCTGTTGCTTGTTCCTTCCCCTCAGCCCCACCTCCGTCAAGTGCTTCACCTTGCGCTTCTATCTCACCCACGCTCTCTGCAGCAGCACCAGCACCAGGCTGTGGTATTGCCGGCATCATGCCCGCCCAGTGTACGTGTTCTGGTTCAGTGGGGTTCCCACGCTCCGCCTCAAACTCCGACATGCTTCTCGATTGAGACTAATTATCCCAGGTGAGTCGAACGAAAGCTTCCGCTGGGCCCTTACAGTCGCTGACGAAACAAACCACGCTCTACCTGTCTGTTGTTGCAGCCAGCAATGGTGATCGAGGCGGGCAACCAGCAGCACACGTGAACGTGAACTGCAGAGTTGCCACCCACGCGGGGCGCCGTGTGTCATACTCATGGGAAGGACTTTGTACGAAAAAATACGGCGGTGCCCCTCTCCCTGAATCCTGATTCCACGCCCACATCCCTGGATCCTGACATGTGCGTGTAGTGCACATGCGCTGCCATACCGTGTGTGTAACGTGTTAAATGCACAATGTAGCGTGTAAGCTATGACTTGATGCCGAAGAAAGCCTTCGCGATGATGTATCATATCCACCCGACTCTGTGTAGATTGACTGAGGACGCCAAACACGCCAATCGTGGGCTCTCTTCGGCACTCGGCACTTCGCCCTGGCGACTTGTGTCGTTTTGAAGCCTTTCACATTCCGCTCATACCACCTTTTCCCTGTGGCATTTCCATTTGCCATAGCCCTTTTCGTATTTCTTGCGTTGAGCTCTGCGTGCGGTGCCCATAATTATTATTTGAAGGCCGCTGAATTGTTCGTCACTGCTGTGTTGTTTTATACCCCTCCATCTCGCTTTCGGACTCCCCTGGCAGTGCATTTGTCACCGCTTTCCGTGTTTCTTGCGTTAAGCTCGGCGGATGCCACACTTGTTGTTGCGCTGTTCTACTAGTTTGGCGCCTTCGCAGTGCATGAGACTACTATTATCCTGGACATCATATTACAGCAAGTAGTACTTTTTTCATCCCGTTGGATGGATGGGTCTTTCATCCCGTTTTATCCACCGCCTCCCCCCCCGACAAAGCCCGCGCCATCGGTGTCCGACAAAGCCCGCACCATCGGTGTCCAGCCGAACTTGATCTAGCTGCCGGCAGTCGGGGGCTATCAATAATAATCCTGCCCTCTACCGAAGTCAATGCCTCCTGGATATACATGCTCGCTAAGCGGGTGGCAGGGATGCGCTCTTCTTTTCGCCCACACCATTGAAGAGCCAAACCACCGCACGCAATGATCGATGTCTCCGCGCGTGGTGATTCCCGAATGTTGGCAACCAGTCAAAAAATGATGCTGTCGCCGGTAGTCCCGCGAGGGAAAACGCTTATCCATCATCCACCACCCGAAGCTTTTCCTGGGTTAGTTTGGGTTGGTACTACATGTATGTTTCGGCTACAGCTCGTTTGTACAGCAAAAAAACGAAATGGATAGATCTACGCTATAAATCTGTGGTCGCATGGTCACCACCCACATAGATAGACTAAACCTTCGACTCAGCACGTAGTCTAGACTACAGATAGGGTCCTGAGATAAGAAACGTCAAAATGGATCGAGCCTCAATTTCTTACTCTGGGCAGAAGGATCAGCCGAAGTCGTCCAATTTCTTAAAAACGAGTTATTCCTTTCTTTGCGCTGTCGAATCCTGCTGATTTATATATACATATATATATATTATTTCTGGCGAAGAAAACAACACACTACTACGCCGTCATGCACAATTGAACCGACAGCTCGGTGTGGCGAACATTGAGGGTTATGACAGTACAGCAGCAGTGGGTGGCGCAGCCCGCGGCGGCGCTGGGGCACGAGCGGCGCCGCGAAAAGAACCTTCCCCCTCCCCCGGTGTTTGCCATCGGGGTTGGGTTTTCGTCGCTTGGCAACGACGTTGTAAAACAAGCCAATTCACTTCGTGAGCTCGGCAACCAGGTTACCGTTTTTTTTTTGACCTCCGGTTTTTTTTTTTGGCGGTAACCATAATGGT